ATCATTCTTGCCATTCCATACAGCCCCAGCTGCCCTGGGCCACACAGACAGAAGCAATGCATCCAGTCTGATCCTCAGCCCCTCCCACCACCACCAACCATACAGTCACACACCAGACTCCTGTCTAGTGTGGGGGAAGAGACTTGCCTAAGGGCCACAACCAGAGTTTTGGCACTTTACGTCGCCCCCACTGTGGCATCCTGTGTTCCCAGATGTCTCCCAACACTGTAACTACCAGCCCTAATACCCTGCCACAGCTTCATAGGTCCGACCTCAGTGGGGTCCGTCTGTCCTCAGTGGGGTCCCTCTGGTCTCAGATGGGTCCTCTGGTCTCAGTGGGGTCCCCCTCTTGGTCTAAGTGGGTCCTCTGGTCTCAGTGGGGCCTCTGGTCTCAGTGTGGTCCTCTGGGTCTCAGTGGGGTCCTCTGGTCCTAGAGTGGGGTCCTCTGGTCACAGTGAGGTCCTCTGAGTCGTAAGTAGGGTCCTCTGGTCTCAGTAGGGTGCCTCTGGTCTCCAGTAGGGTCCTCTGGTCTCAGTAGGGTTCCTCTGGTCCTCAGTCAAGTGAGTTCCTCTGGTCGCAGTGGGGTCCACCTGGTCCTTCAGTGGGGTCCGTCCTGGTCTCAGTGGGGTCCTCTGGACACAGTAGGGTCCTCTGGTCTCAAGATTAGGGTCCTCTGATTCTCTGGTCTCAGTGGGGTCCTCTCTGGTCTCAGTGGGGTCCTCTGGTCTCATAGGGGTCCTCTGGACTCAGTGGGGTCCTCTGGTCCGCAGTGGTGTCCTCTGGTCTCAGTGGGGTCCTTCAGGTCTACAGTGGGAGTCCCTTCAGGTCACAGTGGGGGTCCTCTGGTCTCCGAGGAGGACCTCAGTCTCAGTAGGGATCCTCTGGATCTCAGTATTAGGGTCCCTCTGGGCTCAGTAGGGTCCTCCTGGTCTCTGGTCCTCCAGTGTGGGTCCTTCTGGTCTCAGTTGGGGTTCCTCTGGTCTCAGTGTGGTCCTCTGGGTCGCAGTGGGGTCCGCTGGTCTCAGTAGGGTCCACTGGTCACAGTGTGGTCCACTGGTCACTGGTCTCAGTGGGGTCCTCTGGTCTCAGTAGGGTCCTCTGGTCTCAGGAAGGTTCTCTACTGGTCTCAGTGGGGTCCCCCTCTGGTCTCAGTAGGGTCCTCTGGTCTCAGTATGGTCCTCCTGGTCCTCAGTAGGGTCCTCCTGGGCCCTCAGTAGGGTCCCTCTGGTCTCAGTAGTCGCCCTACCTGTTTAAAGATGGGTGTCGAAATTTTCCAAGATTATATACCTTACACAGAGGCCCCCACCGACTCTGCTCAAACTACAGATCAAAGTTAGCAATCAGCGGATGTTTTTTTTGCGAATTATTGTCCACGGCAACACTGGACGCAAACACTAAATCAAAACAAAAGATTGAACAAAACAAAAAAACATTTCCTGGGCTAGATTATACAATATTTAAAGGCACACCGCGGACTTTGTGACCTAAAGAGTTGACACATATGAGTTATTTTATATGAATACTTGGGCCAATATACAGCGCTTGACACTTGCAATGCTCCGAGCGGGGCTGCCCTCTTGAAATACCGCCCATGTAATTTCGAGCAGACGGACCGTCTGCCACCAGGTCACGTGACTTGGAAGAAAGACTTGCTTTACGGCTACAGGCGCTGATATACTCATGGAGCTAAGGCTTTTGCTACTCATTTTTCACCTGCTCGACTCCTGGTCATGGCTGAGGCAAGGAAAAATTTTAAACCTTCGGAGGAGGCTAAAAAGAGGAAACGCGAAAGGGATCGTGCTGTAAGCTGCATGTCTGTATGAGCGCTGCTCTTCACCTGGTTCCTGGATGTCATCGACTGCAAAGATGTCATTCCACCAGCACGAGCTAGACGCAGAACTCCCTCATCCAGGATATAGAAGTCCATGTGTGGTAGATTACTAATGCAGCGGTCTGGAGGCTGACCACAGCAGAGTCTCTCAATATCTGTAGGCATGTCTCTACAGTTTGAACACACACACCAGTGCATGCTGTCTGAATACACACTCAAAAGACACCGGCTGACTTTTTGTTGACTTTTGCGACAGTGCTGAGTTGCTTGTGGCCACTAGGGGCGCTAAACGTGAAAGTTGCAGGTCTAGCGCCCCTAGTGGCCAAGAGTTACACGGTGTGCCTTTAACACATGTGTCTTTATTACGCTAAAGCTAAGGATTTTATGCTGCTTCTTTTTCATGTTAAAGTAGAGATTATATTTTATTTTTGTACAGAGTCATTGTTCATTTATCTTGTGCGTGTGCGCCTCATTCCTTCTGTGGGACCAAGGCATCTCTTCATCTTAACTCCCAGTTTTTAGACAGATGATGTCACGTTCCACAACTTGGAGAGTATATATGGTGGTGTTTAAAGGAGGCAGATAAAGCTGGACTCTGGGGTCAGGGGGCGGGGCTTATCTCCAACACTGCTTCCTGTGTTGACTCTAGAGGCCATGAGGTCATCTCTGCGCTGGGGTGCCATGTCTGAGGCTGCTTTAGCTCTACTTTGGGCTGGGGAAAGCACATAGCCTGTACATAGATAGGGAATAGGGAAGTGCGCATGGTGAAGGTTTGCCCCAACTCGCTCTGGCTCCTGTCGGCAAGTTTACATAAAAATACATAAGTAATACATTATGTATTACTTATTAGTTATTTCAAAAATACTGTGTTACACTACAATATAACTGTTTATGAATTTTAATGCTTTACACTACTACTGCATTACTTTTAAGTTACTTTCTCAAAATATATAAAAAACAAAAACAATCTTTTAACATGCATTAGGATTTAATCATCTCAAGTTCAATTAATATATGTTAATTTCAGTCTAATAATCTAAAGGAGTTATTATTTACTTTATTGTCTGTTCACTACTGCGGATTCTGGTTAAACTGGTAAATCCTGGTTCAGTCCTATCATAGTCCTAGTTTAGTCCTAGTTCAGTCCTATCTTAGTCCAAGCTCAGTCCTAGTTCAGTCCAAGTTCAGTCCAAGTTCAGTCCTAGTTCAGTCCTAGTTCAGTCCTAGTTCAGTCCAAGTTCAGTCCAAGTTCAGTCCTAGTTCAGTCCTAGTTCAGTCCTGGTTCAGTCCTAGTTCAGTCCTAGTTCAGTCCTGGTTCAGTCCTGGTTCAGTCCTGGTTCAGTCAGAAGTACTGAAGCACATATTTTCCGGCCGTTGAAAAGTGTCTCCTCTGTTTCTGACGTGACTCTGGAGAGGCTCATGTCTCTGTGGACTCTTTTAGAACGCTGTAAAGATCAAACCAGAGCTGATCTGTTCTTTACCAACACCAACCGCTGAGCGCAGGCAGAGTTAAAATGCTGTAACTCACGTCACTGGGCTTTGTATTCAGTAAATATTACCCAGTTACTGTAAAACACTGCTCCTATTACACTGTACAGTCTATGGGAAAATGGCAACTTCTGAGCGCTGTTAACTGTTTATTGTTTAAAAAGCAGGTTTTTTTTCCAACTCAATCTACACCTTTAAATTCTTCCACAATAGTTTTCCCACCTCTGTGTTCACCAAAATAGACATGGGGACAAAACACAACCTTGTGGGGCACATGTTTGAAATCACATTATCTAAAACAAGAGTGTACAAAGACATCTATATTTTAATAATAGACATTTTCCAGATTTCTAAATATATTTCATTGTTTGATATTTCATATTTTATAATAGTCAGAGACCCACACTCTGCAAACAGACGCAGATGATGAACGTACAGTTACATCAAACACATCCGTAAAAATAAAAAATCATGTATTTTTACATATTCATATTGTTTATATATTGTATCGGCTCAGACAGATACCAGCCCTAATCTACAGTTTCTGTTTATATAAAAAAGTCACCACAGATGTAAAAACTCGCTGCTACAGAGGCGTGCGCGACTTCACTTCGATGCGTTCACTGACTGTAAATGTCGGACTGAGGTGGAGTGGGCAGATTGGGCCTTAAGGCTGATTCTTCTGTTGAACCTGGCGCCCGCTCCTTCCTCTTGCTCTGGTGACTTGTGTCTGAATGATGTCATCGACTTTATAAAAGTGATTCAAATGCAGGAAACGGGAAGAATTCTTACGGTTTCCTCCGTTTGAGACAATAGAGAGCTCTGAGGTCTTCAGAAGAAGAGAATCAAGAAAACTGAAATGTGGGAAAAAGCTTTCCTTAAACGGTCTGAATTTCAAAGTAAATACTTTAATCTTCAGCTTCACTACACAGTTTCTGATGTTAGATTTTTTTCTCTTGATAATCCTTGTATTTGTCCAGTTATTCTGCTGTTTTCAACAAGTTTTGAAAAAGAAATCTCTATTTATCGAAATAATTATCCGACTTAAGACAATTTTGATCAACTAAGAAACTGTCGACCGATTGATTTGCTGCAGATCAAAGACAGAGAGACCAGAGAGAGACCAGAGAGAGACCAGAGAGAGACCAGAGAGAGACCAGAGAGACCAGAGAGAGACCAGAGAGAGACCAGAGAGAGACCAGAGAGAGACCAGAGAGAGACCAGAGAGAGACCAGAGAGAGACCAGAGAGAGAGACCAGAGAGAGACCAGAGAGAGACCAGAGAGACCAGAGAGACCAGAGAGAGCCCAGAGAGAGACCAGAGAGACCAGAGAGAGACCAGAGAGAGACCAGAGAGAGACCAGAGAGAGACCAGAGAGACCAGAGAGACCAGAGAGAGACCAGAGAGAGACCAGAGAGAGACCAGAGAGAGAGACCAGAGAGAGACCAGAGAGAGAGACCAGAGAGAGACCAGAGAGAGACCAGAGAGACCAGAGAGAGATCAGAGAGACCAGAGAGAGATCAGAGAGACCAGACAGAGGCCAGAGACAGACCAGAGAGAGACTCATGCAGCAGATATTTGAACACACATCCATGCCTACATCAACACATGGTGGAAACACAGCTGAAGAGACTTGTTTGTTCCTGGTTCCAGTGTGGATAATCTGTGATGGATTCTGGACTCACCTGTGGTCAGTGCTGAGGTCGGTGCTGAGGTCGGTGCTGAGGTCGGTCTGGGTCCAGGGCAGGGAGCAGGCCTCTGGGTGGAGCTGCATGGCACAGGGGGAAGGGCTCTGCTCCTGATGCCACGAGTGAGGCCTGGCAGCGGGAACAGTTCGCCTGCAAACAATTCAAGTCAATTAATTTCTGTATCGCCCCAAAATCACATCTAAAATTATCTCAGAGGACTTTACCAAACTGTCGATTCACCAACACAGATCAGAGACTCAAACAGTTCAAACAATAATAAAAAAAACACAGAGTCATTGGTCCATAAGGAGCAGAGACCAATGTCTATAAACGTTAATAAAGTGAGGTCCATACTCTCTGACCCCTGTGACTGTGAGGACCAGACTGACCGCTGTGGTCCTGCTCGAGTCCTGCTCGAGTCCTGCTTTAGTCTTGCTTTAGTCCAGCTTTAGTCCAGCTTTAGTCCAGCTTTAGTCCTGCTTTAGTCCTGCTTTAGTCCTGCCTTAGTCCTGCCTTAGTCCTCCTGTAGTCCTGCTTTAGTCCTGCCTTAGTCCTGCCTTAGTCCTGCCTTAGTCCTGCCTTAGTCCTGCCTTAGTCCTGTCTTAGTCCAGCTTTAGTCCTGCCTTAGTCCTGCCTTAGTCCAGCTTTAGTCCTGCCTTAGTCCAGCTTTAGTCCTGCCTTAGTCCATCTTGAGTCCTGCTTGAGTCCTGCCTTAGTCCTGCCTTAGACCTGTTTTAGTCCAGCTTTAGAGCCGCTTTAGACCCGCTTTAGTCCAGCTTTAGTCCAGCTTTAGTCCAGCTTTAGTCCAGCTTTAGTCCAGCTTTAGTCCAGCTTTAGTCCAGCTTTAGTCCAGCTTTAGTCCAGCTTTAGTCCAGCTTTAGTCCAGCTTTAGTCCAGCTTCAGTCCAGCTTCAGTCCAGCTTCAGTCCAGCTTCAGTCCTGCTTTAGTCCTGCTTTAGTCCTGCCTTAGTCCTCCTTTAGTCCTGCCTTAGTCCTGCCTTAGTCCTGCCTTAGTCCTGCCTTAGTCCTGCCTTAGTCCTGCCTTAGTCCTGCCTTAGTCCAGCTTTAGTCCTGCCTTAGTCCTGCCTTAGTCCTGCCTTAGTCCAGCTTTAGTCCTGCCTTAGTCCAGCTTGAGTCCTGCTTGAGTCCTGCTTGAGTCCTGCCTTAGTCCTGCCTTAGACCTGTTTTAGTCCAGCTTTAGTCCAGCTTTAGTCCAGCTTTAGACCCGCTTTAGTCCAGCTTTAGACCCGCTTTAGTCCAGCTTTAGTCCAGCTTTAGTCCTGCTTTAGTCCTGCTTTAGTCCTGCCTTAGTCCTGCCTTAGTCCTGCCTTAGTCCTGCCTTAGTCCTGCCTTAGTCCTGCCTTAGTCCTGCCTTAGTCCTGCCTTAGTCCTGCTTTAGTCTTGCTTTAGTCCTGCTTTAGTCCTGTTTTAGTCCAGTTCTGGTCCTGCTTTATTCAATCCCTGCAGCCGTTTACATCCATAGATTTCTAAATAATGAATGAATTGTTTTCCGGAGAGGGTCTGGTTTCAGAGCAGTCCTACGGTCAGACTCCCGCAGACTCAGAAGGATCTGATTTTCACGGAGGTCTTCATGAAGCGCCTCATTCAAGTCCTTCCTATTCACTTTTATGAGACGTTTTCTTTAGTTCATGAGACGCTAAGATTATAATTATTATTAAATATATACATTATTTAAATGTAAAGCTCCATCTAGAACCATGTGTTTATGAGCAGGTGTCTATTGTCTTTAATGGTGTGTGCTAGGGTTTCATATTTTTCCTGAAAATGAGACGTATCAAATCCTGGGAAAAGACGACGCCTTTCCCGGGAAATAGCTGTACATGCCAAGTAATGTATGATATCACTCAAATTTATAATCCAACAAAAACTGCCATCTGCACTAGTGTTTCACCAAGCGACTTGCTAGCTTTTCTAAAGTAGCCATAGCGTTTTCAGACGTTTTGTTGATGGGCTTTCTTCAGGAATTTCACTAATATGAGATTCTAAATGTCTGCGCAATCCACTTGTCGACCAGTGACGTGCGGTGTGGTTTGGAGGCACTGACTTCAGCCCTGTCAGATGAACATATATCATATAAATCTACAGAACCTACAAAGCGGCTTATTCACAATTAGTTTCGCTACAGCAGAATGTTTTCCATGGCCCGCATTGTTTGTTTATATAAAACGCAAAAGTTCGTAAAAGGCACATTTCCAATTGTGTTATGGGTCTTACCTTAGTTATTAATGAACAGCACAGACCACTTCGGTTCAGACCAGTTTCATGTTTAAGTCCAGATAATAGTTTGAGCGCAGATATGTAATCCCCCATTTGGAAATAAGCCCAAAGAGTTTTAAAGCGTAAAACAAAACGGGTGCCACCTCCATAAACTCCTCTGTGTGTTTCGTTCCAATTTCTAATATCAAACTTCTTACCCTTCTCCTCTCTTCCTTATCATTCCTATCGTCATTGGAAGCAGAACATTACCCTAAATGCATTTTATATTATCTTACAATGTGTTATATGTATGTTAGCCAAACCTGTTGCTGCCCTTAGCAGACGGAAAAAAAGAAAGGAGCTTTCTGATAGAATTGGAGGTAGCCGAATTCTGGGCTCACATGTGCCCTGTACCCTGAGGCTGGCCTCATTACAAGTCGTGGTTTAGCGCGATTAAGACCCATATTTGTTTCAAAAACACAATTTATGAGCCATCCTCTCAACTGTAGACATGTTGATTGTAAATGAAATATGTTTGAACTTTGAACAACAATAAACGTGCTCTATAATAGGAGCGCACTGGATTTTTTTTTTTACTTTCATTTCCCGTTTCCCGTCATAACATTTCCCGGGAATCGGGAAATAGTTTTGATCAGATTTCCCGGGAATCCCACGTCCCGGGATTAAACCCTAGTGTGTGCTACTGTTATTACTAGCCTAATCACTGCACATTATAACAGACATATTTACAGTCAATGTGTATGTGTGTGTGTGTGTATGTATGTGTATGTGTATGTGTGTGTGTATGTGTTGTTCCCTATGAATTACATCATGTCATAATTTTTTGTCTGCTTATCCTCCAAACAAATAGATAATAATATGATCTGATTGTAGTAGATTGCGTTTGATGGCCACTTTGTGTTAGTTATAGAGGGCCACACCTATTGACATAACAGGCCGCGTTTGGCCCACGGGCCTCAGGTTGGACAGAAAAAAACTTTATGTTTATCGTTGCTACCATAGATTGGGTCTAGGACTAGATCGCAAATTCGAGACAGCTGTGCAGTCGCTCTGACGCGCCGACGAAGAGGACACTCTATGAAAGTTACATTCCAAAGCTTTAACAGCTGCCATTTTCTCAGACGCTTCAGTAGATTAGCTCTGACCTCACCATAGTGTTTGCTTTTGTGTGTTTGTGTTTTGTAATTGTATTGTTCCCTATGAATTATGTCATTATTTTTGGTCGTCTTATCCTCCAAACAAATAGATAATAATATGATCTGATGAAGGTATGAAAAATTATCCGTTTGTTGTAAATTAAGTTCACGTGACATCAGCAAGTCCCAAAGAGCCTATAGTTTCACATTGTGGAGCAGGGCAGCTGTGGCATCTTTTCTGGTACCTCTGGCAAGCGTCAAAAAAGCGTCAATGTGTATGATGTGGGCCGGTAAAAGGACTTTCAGACACAAGAATAATATCACAGCTTATGGATCTAATCACTGTCAAATAATGACCAGGGAAAAGAACCATTTACTTTAGTTTTGATGAAGATAGATATTTTATTTTATTCTAGTTTGGATATTTTACGCTACTTTGGAGCAACTGTGGTTAAAGTTCGAACTCATCATTCTAACAATACGCACAAGGCAATACTTTTCCACTACTTGGCTATGAACTGAAATATTTTTCTCTCTTTTTGGTGTTTTATTGGTTTCAATTGATGTGTCGGCTTTTAAGTGTTACCTCAATCTTGTAGTTTTTTATTTTAGATTGTATTTCTATAAGTTGTAAATGCATGTTGAATGCGTTGCCTCTTGTCCAGGACACTCTTGAAAAAGTCATAAAAATCTCAAGGCCAAGCCACTGGTAAAAAACCTCCAGACGTTTCTAATTTTTGTCACTAGTACAGAGTTATTGTTCGTTTATCTTGTGCTGTGTGCGCCTCATTCCTACTGTTGTGTAACTGTTGATGCAACACTGACATTTCTCCGCTGTGGGACCAGTAAAGCATCTCTTCATCTTTCATCTTACTCCTTCTTTCCCATGGAGCCGTTCTCTGACATGACGGTTTTATGCCCCACACATTTCCTTATACGACAGCAGTGAAAGCAAACATTACAGCCACATCCAGGATTTTATTATAGATGTTCAAACACGGAGAGAGGAGCGAGGCCAAAGAAAAGCTCCCACTTCCTGAACGTAGGCAGATATACAGCAGGCTCTAATCTGAAGCGTTTAACAAGGAAAAAATGTCCCCAAATGATCCGTGAGAAAGTTACATTCATCTAAAGTGTGTTTTAATGTGGGAACCAAACAAACCCACGGCCTTTTCTCACTCACCGAGACACACGGCTCTAAAAGGACATGTTTTAGCTCCGGACACAATCAGGAAGTTTTGACCTCCAGCCTCCAAACACTGAATGATTTAGTCGACCTATACGCATTGGTATTAAGAGAGCAGACAGAGAGCAGAGTGAGACCAGAGAGACCAGAGAGAGAGCAGAGAGAGAGCAGAGTGAGACCAGAGAGACCAGAGAGAGAGCAGAGAGAGAGCAGAGTGAGACCAGAGAGACCAGAGAGAGAGCAGAGAGAGAGCAGAGTGAGACCAGAGAGACCAGAGAGAGAGCAGAGTGAGAGCAGAGAGACCAGAGAGAGAGCAGAGAGAGACCAGAGAGAGAGCAGAGTGAGACCAGAGAGACCAGAGAGAGAGCAGAGAGAGATAAGAGAGAGAGCAGAGCGAGACCAGACAGAGAGCAGAGAGAGAGCAGAGTGAGACCAGAGAGACCAAAGAGAGAGATCCGAGAGACAAGAGATAGACCAGAGAGTGACCGGAGACCAGAGAGAGACCAAAGAGAGAGACCAGAAAGAGTGACCACAGAGACTGAAGCTGCCATTTTCATGCAGAAGAAGCTGCTTAGAGCTAACTCGAACAGG